TGCCAGAGCGGCGGCGTCGCGTCGCAAAAACCTCAAAAAAAAAAAAAAAAAAAAAAACTTTAAGGGCACACGGTTTTCTTCGGTTAATGTGAAAAGGCTCCACTGACAGAATTAACTTTTCAGGACCCTCAGTATTTTAGGAAAGAACTAAATGGCCAGTATCATTGCTTATAAAGTATCCTGAAGGCCCAGACATACTGGTTAAGGTGCTGGACTCCCACATAATTGGCACTGGTTTGTGTCCTGGACCCGGTGGCTTGAAATTCAAACTGGGTACATGTGCATGTGTGCCCAAAATCCAGAGAGGGGAATAGAGGAGAGGAGATTGCGGTGTGGCCATCTCCTCCAAGGGGGTGATTTCTCTTTGTCTCGCTCTGTATCACCAATAAGCACAGGAGCCCTATAGCAAAAATACCTCTCTCAAAAAAAAAAAAAAAAAAAAAAAAAAAGAAAGAAAGAAAAAGAAAAAAAGTATTCACCTCATGGAAGTTTATGTTGAGGAAAAGTTTGTATTTTTTTTTTTTTGGAGAGGTTTTCGCTATAGGGCGCGTGCGCTCGCTAGACAGATAGACAGAGACATAAAGACAGAAAGCGAGAAATCATCCCCCAGAGGGGATGGTCACACCACAATCCCTTCTCCTCCATTCTCCTCTCGGGATCTTGGGCACGCACGCACACGCGCCCGGCGTGAGATTTAAGCCACGACGCGAACCACGGTCAACTACGTGGGAGTCCAGCGACATAGCCATTACACTAACTGCTGGTTCCCAAAAGTTTGTATTTTTTATTTTTAGGTTTTTGCCATAGGGCATGTCTGCTCATTGGAAAGAGAAGGAGAGAGGGAAAGTGAGAAAGCACCTCTCCCGAGGATGGGTGGTCACACTGCAATCCCTCCTCCTCTTGGAACATTGGGCACTCATGCATACACATTTGGCATGATTTTCCAGCCTCTGTGTTCAAAACTTGGACCGTGACTGGCCATGTAAGATTCCAGTGCCTTCACCACCATGCTACCTGCTGCCCCATATTTTTTGCTTTTAATTTAATTTCCTCTCTAATTTTTTTTTATTTTAAGGGTTTTTTTTCCCCAGGATCAGTATGTGGAATAATGGTTATGTCACTGGACTCCCACATAGTTCAGTTTGAGTCCTGGATCCAGCAGCTTAAAACTTGCACCAGACCCGTGTGCGTGTGTGTGCATGCCCAAAATTCCAAGAGGAGAATGGAGAAGGGCTTGTGGCATGGTCATCCTCACTGGGGGGGTGATTTCTCACTTTCTGTCTCTCTGTCTCTTCAATGAGTACTTGTGCCCTACAGCAAAAATCACTCTCAAAAATAGAGGTTTATGCCTTAGAGCGCATGTGCTCTTCAGAGAGAGGGAGACAGAGACAGAGACAAAGACAGTGAGAGAGAAAGTGAGAAATCACCCCCCCCCAGGGGAGATGGCCACACTGCAATCTCTTCTCCATTCTCCTCCCGGGATCTTAGGCATGTACGCACACATGCCTGGAGTGATTTTCAAGCCACCAGGTCCAGATTTGAATCACAGTTGGCCACGTGGGAGCCCAACGATGTAACCATTACACTATCTGCTGGACCCAAAGTCCTCTCAAATTTGATTAGACAGATAAGCCACATTTTGTTTACCCACTCGCCATTTGATGGACACTTGGATTTTCCCCCGTTTTTAGCTATTACTAAGAATGCTGCTATAGACGTTCATGTACTAATCTCTACATGGATATGTTTTCATATCTCTTGGGTAAAAACCTAAGAGTGGACGTGTTGGATCATATGGTAAGTGTATGTTTAACTTTTTATAAAACTGACAAATGGTTTTTCAAGGAGCAGTACCATTTTCCAGTACCAGCAGCATGTATGAAGGGCTCCGTGTTCTCCTCATCCTAGCCAATGGCTTCCAAGAGGTGGAGCGGTCTAGTCAAAGCAAAAGCAGACTGGTCAAGAGCAAAGGTCATGGTGACAATTTTTGGAAAGCTCTTTTAGCTAGAGTTGCTAAGCTGTCAGAATGTAAGACTGATGCTGCCAATGGCCATTCATTCACTTCATCATTCACTCAGCAAATATAATCTGAGTTCCCACCACTACTTGGTAAGCTCTGGCCATGCAGGAAGTCCCTGGTAACAGTGTAAGAAAGAGAGTCAGCACCCTAGTTCCGGTTCCCCGGGGACCTTTCAGTTGTAGGAGATGGTGAGTTCCCTAATTTGGATCTGCTGCAACTAACAGGAGGTGACAGTGGGCCTCTCATCCACTGGGCCTCAGGAAAATCCGGGTGATGGGCCCATTTCATGAGGATATATCAACCAGCCTTGGAACCACAAGCGCAACTGAGATGCCAAGAGATGAAAGTACCCAACAGCCTGTGGTAGTGCCAGTGAAAGCTGGAGAGGGCCTGGTGGATATCAAGAGAGGCCTGAGTTGATGGGTGGTAGGGAAGAGCAGGAAGAAAGGACTTAGACAGGTCAGGTATTGGAAAGGATATTTTAAAAACTGTCATTGCAGCATGGCCATCTCCCTTAGGGGGTGAGTTCTTGCTTTCTGTCCCTCTGTCTCTCTGATGAGTGCATATGCCCTAGAGCAAAAATCTCTTTAAAAAAAAAAAAAAAAAAAA